GGGGAGCCGGGCGCGCGCAGGTCCACGGCGAACATGCCGTAGGTGCGCAGCGGCGCCAGCTCGCCCGCGCCGTCCAGGAAGCGCAGGTCGCTGGAGGCCGCGGCCGCCGACGCCAGGTCGCGGGGGTCCACCACGGTGACGCGCGCCTCCACCGGCCCCGCGTAGGGGCGGCCGTCGGCGTGCTGGAAGGTCCCGGGCGGCAGCACCAGCTCACCCAGCGCGGGCGCCGCCGCCGCCTCCGCGCCGCCCAGCGGGATGGCGCCGCCACGCTCCGCGTCCAGCAGCATCGGGGCCGCCTTGCGCAGCGCGCGGACCTCGTGGTACACGCCAGCGCCGCGCGGGTCGAAGGGCAGCACGCGGACGCTGTCCACGAACTCGCCGCTCGGGTCCACGAAGGTGACCACGAGGCGCTCGGTGGCCGGAGGCACCTCGATGGTGAAGTCGCCCTGGAAGGACGTGAAGCCGATGGGCGCGCGGCCCAGCAGGATGCGGGCGAAGCGCAGGGGCTCCCCGGAGTCGGCGGCCACCAAGCGGCCGCGCACCAGCCCCCGGCGCGGCAGGCACTTGCGACAGCCGCACTCGGCCACCACCTTCACGGGGAGCACGTAGCCGGAGCAGCGGACCTCCCTCTCCTCCAGCCGCAGCACCGAGCAGCAGCGAGAGCCCGCGTCCCCGCATCGGGGCCCGGAGCCCCCGGGGCCGGGGCAGCGCGTGTCCGCGCACTCGCCCACGTCCAGGAACGCGGGGCCGCCGCCGGGCTGGCCGCAGTCGTCCGGAAGCTTGATGAGGTGTTCCCGGGGGTGGGGGTCGCAGGCCGGCCGGCCGGGAGCTGGGGAGCGCACACAGGTCAGGGGGCGGGCGGGCCGGGGCCAGGCCCGGCCGGGGGGTGGGGGCGGGCGAGAGGCTCACCTAGCACCGTGAGCCGGGCGGCGCGGGAGCGCACGGCGCCCGCCTCGTTCCAGGCTTTGCAGTGGTACTCTCCTGCCTGCTGCTCGCCCAGCCCTCGGAGCTCCAGGTGCGGCCCGGAGCCGTGCAGGCGTCGCTCCAGCAGGGTGCCGTTGTGGAACCTGAGGAAGGCGGGAAGTGGGGACCCTCGTGATGGTGGCCCCGACTGCCGCCGGAGCTCAGCCTCGCTGTCCAGCGCTCCGAACTGAGCGGAGGCTGCGGCCTGAGTCACCGCAGCTCCCACTCCTCCAGCCGCCGTGCTGTGGGCGTGCCCCACTGGGCCTGCTTTGCTTTTCTTTGGAGACGCGGTTCCCCCACTACTTAACCCCCACTCCTTCAAGCTCACGGCAGTCCTCCTGCCTCAGTTCCTAACCTCGGTGTGGAACTGTCACCGCACCTCAGCTTTAGAGGGCTGCTGAGGTGCCGCAGGGTACTCCGACGACGCAACCCAAGGCCGGCCGAGTGCCCTGCGTTGCCGGAGACACTCACCAGGAATACTTCTTGGGCGTGGGTGTCCCTGAGGCCTTGCAGCAGAAGGTCACGTTCTGACCTGCCTCTCGGACTCGGGACTCAGGGTGCTTTACCAGGTACGGTTTCCCTGAGGGGGCAGAGTCGGCCCGGTTCATGACCCCGCTGTACCCCAGGGACCCATTTCCCTTCGAATTCTCCCGGGGACAGCCCGCCTCACCCTGTACTGTCAACACCCGTGAGTCACACCTTGATTTTTCCCCCTTGGCCCAGGAACATCCTCTGTCACGTATTGGCTGCAGGGACACTCACCTAACTCTTCAAGGACGATGGTGACCACGGCTGAGTTGGAGCTGTTGGCGCTGGCCTGGGCTGTACCAGCCGAGAACCCATTCATCTGGGCGCTGACGTTGGCGCGGCTGTCAGCGCAGACTCCAGGCACCCGGAAGGTTCCATGGCTGCCACTGGTGGCTACCGTGCCAGGTCGGGCTGGCAGGGAGACCCTGGCGCCTGGCAGGGGTCGGCCAGATGGGGTGACCACCGTTCCCAAGAGGATGTGGTCAGGGCACCGGCAGATGTCAGAGCTGCACCCTAGGGGAACACGGAAGTGGAAGGGGGCAAAGGGAAGGCTCTTGGTGAGAGCTTTGCATTCACTCAACAAACATGTGACCCTCCACCCCAGCCCGGGCGTCAGTGTGGCTGGACTTAAGCGAATCTGGAGACAAGGCTAAGTGGGCACAGCTGGACCAAGGGAGAACGCTGGGTCCCGGGATGCAGGAAGGAGCTCCGGGGAGGGGATGGCGAGGACTCATGCAGCCGGAGCACCTCGCCGGGCGGGAGGGAGCAAGGGGCTGTCCTGAACATCATCTGTCCCGTTTCCAATGCTGCTTCTCCGCGAAGTGGAAAATTCCAGCGGAAACTCAGGGCAGAGGCTCTGGGCTGGGTCCCACCTCGTGCCCCCACCCTATGAGGGCCCTGCCTCAGCTGTCTGCATACATGTTTGTGGAGCCCAGGCCTGAGTGGAATTTCCAGGCCCCTCCTGGCTGGCCCAGAGAGGGCCTGGGCATGCTGTCTGCCAGGCTGTGAGCGCGTGTCTGCGTGGGCGACCAGGACAAGCCGAGCGGGACTCGGCGCTGCCTGTGTGCTTCCACAGTATGCAGCTGGCTTCTGTCTGCACACAGGGAGGGCTTTGTGTGGGCACCGGGGGAACGACCCCTCGGGTCTTCCCATGCCTGCCTGGCACCCGCCCACTCCTCCGAGTGGTCGCCTTGCCTACCCTGTGCGTGCAGGGACTGGGATGTGCGCAGTCACGACCCAATCAGGCAAGGGAGGGAAGGGGTCGCCAGTATTGGACCCTGCCCTTCAGGGCCCCACTTGAGCTGGTCGCATCCTCTGGACTCCTCCTTACGCGGACCCGCCCCTGGCCATCCCCTCTTCTGGCCCTGCGCCTCCTACCTGGGCACCGGGACCTCACACACTTTTGTGTCTCCTGGGAGCTCCCGGGACACGTGTCCCCAGAGGAGCCTTGACAGCTGCGTCGGCGCAGGCGACGGCCCGGCCCGCAACTCTTGGAGCAGAGGCCCCACGCGCCCCACGCGCTCCACGCTGCCTCTGCGGAAACAAGGAGTGAGATGAGTGGAGCTGCCCACGCCAGGCAGCGGGCTTTCTGGCCCGTGCGGGGCCGGCTCCCCAGCGTCCGCGCCCCGGCTCACCCTGCTGGCCGCCGCCCCTCCGACTTAGGAAGTCATCTTCCAGTACACAGCGGGCTGCTCTGGACCGGCCGAGGGGATCCCGGCACGGCAGCGCACTGCCCGGTACCTCCTCCCTGTCAAGCCCACCAACCTCCCGCTGATGGGCGTGTCTCGCCGAAGACACGACCCCAGCTCCGCGCACAGCCGTCAGGGGCCTTGCCCTTGGGGTCGTGCTTTCTCCGCCCGCCCACCGGAGCCCGCGGCCCGCCCTTACCCAGCGGGCAGCGGAAGCGCACGTGGTAGTTGGAGCAGCGGCGGCCGCGGGGCTGCTCGCGGTTGAGGCACCAGAAGCCGCGCTCGGGGTTGGCATGCACCCGCTCGCCCGTGGCGGCCGGGAGCACCCAGTCGGTGGTGCGCGCCTCCAGCGCCAGCGGCCTCGGGCACACGCGCGCGGGGCCGTAGTAGAAGCGGATGGCGGCCAGGCTCTCGAAGTCGCCGTCTCCCCCCGGGTGGTCCACGTTGAACCACGACGTCCACTCGCTGGCCTCTGAGGGCATGGTACGCTGAGGCGGGCTCTCCACCACCCGCCAGCCACCCCCACCGGAGCTCACCAGGCTCCGGGTCACAGGGCCGAGGTGACTTACCCTCCCAGTCCTCCAGGTCCGGCGAGGGCTGTCCGGGATCTGGCGGCCGACCCTGAAGACCCTTGGTGGCTGCGGTGCGCTCCTTGGTGGAGGTGGCGTCTGTGGGGGTGCGGGGAGACACAAGGTGGACACTGAGACCCCCTTCTGGGGCGTTTCACAAGGCAAAAAACAGGATCGGGAGCCAGCTCTAGCTCTGGGGCCTGCAGGGCCGTCTCCTCCATGCAGCCTTCCCACGGCCAGCAGCGCACCCTGAAAACCAGCCCCCTCCACAGGTTGGGTGACTCTCCCCAGTCTGCCACTCCAGGCCCGAATGTCCATCAAACACAAGTTCAGTTACAGCGCGTTAAGGCACAGCGCGCTCAGCTGCACTCTGCCGCAGACGCTGCGTTCTCCCCTGGCCGCTCCTCCAACGTCCACCCTCCCGCTCTTTCTCGGCGGGGTGCAAGGTGCCAACAGGTGAGTCTTTGGCCACTCTTGCTTCCAGCTTTCCAAGATGGACTGTGGGTGTGTGCGCGACAGGTTCAGACGAACCCCTTCTTTCTGGAGCCCTAGTCTTTTGAGGAATGGGCCTGTCATCAGCTCTGACCTCCCGGCACAGGTTTGGAGACCTGGCCACTTAGGGTTCCAAGCCTTGGCCGGCTGCGCTTTCCCGGGAGGACGGAGGAGGGCTCTGGGAAGTTGGTGAAGAGTCGTTTCCCCACCCCGCCCCGAGCCACCGCCTGCCCACTTTTCTGCCCTCGGTTGACGGCCTCGGTCCCCGGGGCGGCTCACCTCCGGCTCCCACGAGCCGCGCGGCGGCGGCGGCGACGCACAGACACAGCAAGGGCAGCGGCGACGCCATCGCCAGGTCGGAGCGCCTCAGCGGAACTGTCGACTCCGACTGGCGCGGCCTGAGACTGATGGGGTGGGTCGCAGCCGCAAGCCCCGCCCCTGCAAGCCCCGCCGGGTCGCCCCCTCTCCGTGCCTCCCGCGGAGCCTCCGCCCCCACACTGCCTTGGGTCCCGCCGTTCCCCTCCGCCCACCCCAATCGGGTCCGCGCCGCCGCCGTTTGGCCTTAAACTTGACGCTGCTGGGCGTGGTGGCAGGCTGGAGCTCTCTGTGGGTCCAACGCGCATCCTAGCACGCTCGGCCACCCCCGGCCGGGAGGGCCCCCCGCGCCCACCCTCCGGCCCGGGACGCCGCCCGGCTCAGGCCAGAGGGGCTGCCCCGCCCGCCCCTGGCCCGGCGCACAGAAGAGGCGGAGGAAGAGGGGCTGCAGACGTTTATTCCGGGCGGGCGCTCACAGCGCGGCCACGCAGTCGGTGCCGGCGTAGATCGGCAGGGCCAGGCCAAACTTGCGCCGCACGTCTTCGGGCACGAACCTGCCGGCCACGAAGTGGTGGCGCCCGGCGAAGCGGCCGGCGCAGCGCTTGGGCGCGGCGAAGGACACCAGCACGTCGGGCCGCAGCGCGTCCTCCGCGTCGCCGCCGGCCTCGTCCCAGCCTGGGGGCGGAGAGGGCGAGCTGGGACGGCGGGCCCGGGGCTCCCGCAGCGCTGCGCCTGCCGCCCCCCACCCCCGGCCCGGGCCTCCCGCAGCGCTGCCTCTGCCGCCTAACGGAGTCGAGCGCCCCTCTGACCCGGGCGCCTTGGCTCCCGACCACCCCGTGCTGGACCTGCCGGGGCGCTCCCCTCTCCCCCACCACCCCGGAGTTGTGGTGCGCTGTCCCCTGCAAGCAACCCCGCCTTCTCTCCTGAGCGGACCCGCCTGCCCCTCTCCCTGACTGGAGCTGCTAGCTGCGGGGTCCCTCAGCTCCCAGGCCACCTGCAGGCTCCTCTCTCGGGCTAGACACGACTTGGTGTGGGATGACCCTGCGGTGCTCCAGCTAGGGACAACCCTGCGCAGCCCCGCGGAGGGGACGCTGTTTGTCCCCAGCGGCTCGGGCCTGGCAGGCGTGGCCTCTGCCGAGCGAGCTCACGTCTGTCCTGCAGCAGGGCCAGTGAGGGCTGAGGGGACACCGGCCACTTGGGGCAGCCACTCGTCTCGTCCCCGTCCTTAGGACGGGTGGGAAACAGGATGAGGGCAGATGCAGAAACTGAGGCTGAAAGAGCTGGAAGGGGGGAACCGGGAGTGGGGGCGGGCGTTGGGGTGGGCGGGAAGACAGGCCGGGTGGCCGGGCTGCCGCGGGTGGCGTGCCTGAGGGGACGTCCAGGCTCACGAGCGGGATGGAGAGCCGCTTAAGCGTGGCCAGCGCGCGCGCGCAGGGCTCGCCCGCCTCCGCCGGCCGCACTCCGGGGCCGAGCACCGCGTCCACCACCAGCCCGTAGGCGTCATCGACGAGCCGCACCTGAGGGGGGAGGGGCTCAGCGGCTGCGCGCGGGCGGGCGGGGGGCGGGGCGGGGGCGCGGCTGACCTCGGCGGGCAGGAAGGACAGGAAGGGGATGTCCATCTTCTCGCACTGCGTGGTCAGGTCGCGGTGCAGCGCGTCTGCCGATCGCGCGGGGCAGAAGATGCTGGGCTGGTAGTCCTGGGGGAGCCGAGGTCGGTCACGGCGGCGGCGGGAGGGCGTCCGCCCCGGCTCCCGACCCCGGGGGCTCCAGCCCGGTCCCTCGCCCCGGGCCCCTGCTACTCACGAACACCCGCAAGTGCCGGGCACATGCCAGCCCCACCGCGCCGTTCTCCTCCGGCCCGCACACGACCAGCACTGTCCTCTGCTTGCGCGACAGCGACGGCAAGGGGAACGCCTGGGAGATGGCATAGTGGGAGGCTCTGCGGGGATAAGCTGAGGCCGAGGAGGGTGCTCGCTGGCAGGGCAGGCTGACCCCGCCCAGCGGGACTGCGCCCTGGCCTCTGCGCCCGCCCCGGCCTAGAGTGGTCTGTTTACTCCGCACGCACTTCGGACACATGACCCCCTTCCCCTCGCGGCTACCCCCAAGTTGGTGGAGAGTGGGGTGGTCCGCAGTCGGCAAGCCTGGGGCCAGGTCTTCTGTGGCTCTGCCCTGCCCCTGCCTTTACTTCCCCATATTTCCTGTCTGCCTTCTATTTCAAACACCCAGATTGTCTGCGCGTATTTTTTGTTGTTTGAGAGATTCTTACTCTACGTCAGGCTGGTCTTGAACTTGCAGCAATCCTCCTGCCTCAGGCCCCCAACTGAGGAGCTGGTAACTGGGAGGCAGCACACAGCGCTGCTGGGCTGAAGAGGGCCAGTGAGGGGCTCGGCAGGTGAGCTGGCCGTCAAGTGTCTGGAGGGAATTTCTTTCCTGGGGCCCATGTGGTGAAGCAACACTCGCTCCACAAGCTACCCTCCCAGCTCACAGGCTCACGTCCGCACACAGGATGGGGGCAGTGAATGTAATTTTAGAAAGAATTAAGGGGAGGCGGGCCCACGGCAGGTGGAGGAGGTGCTTGCAGCCCTTTCTTGGCCTTTTGCATGGAGGGGCCGAGGCCCGGGCGAGTTCAGCACCTCTAACGTCACCAACACCCTCCTGTCATCTTGGGGCACCTCTAGGTGAGGATCTGGCCGAGCCGGATACACCTTGTTTGAGCCCCGCTTTGGACCCCATTTGACCCACTGTCGTCCCACTCTGCCAATCCACCTCGGGGCCTGCTTCCTCTCGGGGGCGTTTGCGGGTGCACAGATGGCAGGGTGGCCGGCAGGTAGGTCTCGCCTGTGGAGAAACAGGCCTGCTCCTCGAAGGCCTCAGCCCCGCCCTATGGGCGCCCCCCCCCCATCTGAGTATCTGGGGACCTCACTTCTGCCTTGTCTGCCCCTCTGATCTGGCCTGGTCTGTCGGTGTTTCACCACCTGAGTGATGTTTGAGGTAACTCCGCGCCAAGGGGGCTGGTACCTTGGTCACAGCCATGGCACTGGCGTGCCCGCATAGCTCCACCAGCTGCTGCCGCCCAAAGCGGTACTCGTCCAGCAGCTCCCGCTCCAGGGCGGCCGCCTCCGCGGTGCTGCGGGCAGAGTCAGGCATCCCGTTCAGGGCCGCATGCAGGGAGCAGAGAGCCGAAGGCGCTCGCCTCGTCCTTCCCCACGAGGAGCTCCAGTGGCCCTGAGCTGCGAGGTCCACCTCTTTCCGGTGTCCCCATCCCACAAACATGGTTTGAAATGGCAGCCACAGCCTAAGGCGCGCGCGCCCTCTGCTGGTGAGTCGCTCGAGCTGGGACCCAGAGGAGAGAACGCAGACAGGTGCTGCGTGCATAGCCCAGGGTGTTGCTGAACCCCTAGTCCTCCTCCCTCAGATTTATAACTGGTGTGCGCACTCACCCCAAATGTTAAGAGAATTTAATTTCTGACACAGGGGCCAACAAGGAAGCTCCAGGACACTGGAGGGGGCATGTGGCTTGTGAAAGTGGCTTTTGAAGATTGCAGTTTAGCCTCTCATTTAGGAAAGTGGAAGAGGGACCTTCAACTGTGAGACCCTTGATAACCCACCTTCAGGGACAATGAAATTAAGATATCTGAGCCTGGCTTGGTGACCCACTCCTTTAATCCCAGCACTTGGGGGGTCGAGGCTGGTGGATCTGTGTGAGTTCAGCCAGGGGTACATAGTCAGACTTGTTTGGCTTGGTTTTTTGAGACGGTTTCTCTGTATACCTGGCTGTCCTAGACTCACTTTGTAGACCAGGCTGTCTTGAAACTCACAGAGATCCACCTGCCTCTGCTTCCCAAGTGCTGAGATCAAAGGCGTGCACCACCATGCCTAGCATGAGAACCTATCTTTAAAAAAAAAAAAAAAAAGTTATCTGCAGCCAGAGAGATGGGTGCTGGGCTGCGTGGCTTTAGCACCACTTGGCTGAGTCTTGTCTCCAGCCTATCTCTAGCAGAGTTGAAGGCAAGAATAGCTTACATAATTAATGAGTCTGTTCTCAAAAGTCATTAGCAATTTAATGTTGCTTGTGGCTCGGCAGAATGCCCGCCAAGCTTGGCTGAGGCCCCGGGTTCCACACCTAGCACTAGGAGAGAAAGGTTTTGTAGAAAGCAACAGCAAGTGCTTTGATCAGCATTTCAGAGCACAGGAACCAGACAGAGGCTGGCCGCCTTGGCTTGCTGAAGGGGCAGGTAAACTGGCAAGGCAGATGCTCTGCACAACAGAACCAGAGTTGTGGGTAGAAGGGTGGGTCTGCTTGGCCTCTCCACTTCCTTTCCAACTGTGGGCCTGGTGGGCCGGGGTGCCTACTGGCCAGCAGGCACTGCTGAGGAAGATGAACCTCAGGCAGATATCCTGGAGGAGAGGAGGAGCACGGAGGAAGGTAAGAGCAAGAAGTGAGAGCACCTGGAAGAAGTCTGGAGCGACTCAGGGCAGAAGCAGCTGGGGAAAGTTGTTAGAACGTGCAGGGAACAGGACAGGCAGGGCTCAGTGCCACACTAAGACACACATAGCTGGGCATGGTGGCACGCACCTTTTATCTCAGCATTCAGAGGCAGGTGGATGTCTGAGTTCGAGGCCAGCCTGGTCTACAGAGTGATTTCCATGACAGTCAAGGAAAAAAAGGAAGAAGGCAGTGATGAGAACTCCCAGTGAAAAGATGGGAGACAGTGTAGGGCAGGACACCTCAGAGGAAAAGGTCCAGTCAAGAGGCACTGGGCCACCTGCCGGCTTCTGGGACAGCACATCAGGGCCAGGCATGGTGGCACATACTTGAATCCCAGCACTTGAGCCAACTGTAGTGCTTAGTTAAATTCTCAAAATGAAGGCGGGGGCTGAGGTGGCTCTAGCGCTCTCTCAGGGGCCTGAGCTCAGCTCCCAGCACCCACAGAAGCAAGACCAGCTTCAGGGAATCCAAAGCCTCTCACCTCCAGACTCCTTCAGAGCAAACACACAGGGATACCTTAAGAGCTGTTAAGCTGCTTGCTTTGCAGTTAGTTTAATGCCTAGAACCCACGGGGGTGGGGCATAAACACCTGAGCGCAGCAGGCATGCCCAGAACCCAAGCACTGGAGCGGTGCAAACAGGAGAATCACAGAACTCCCTAGCCAGCCAGTGCAGACAGCAGTAAGGTGGAGTAAGGTGGAGAAACAGAAGGCTGCTGATGTGACCTCTGGCCCCCACTCACAAGCCCAGGCATCGCTGTGGAGGCTCAGCTGCATTCCTGTCTGACAGCCAGGGCAGCTGCCTCTGCAGGGGTGGGGTGCTCATCTCCACCTGAAACTACCAACCACAGGGACAGTGGGTCGCCCTGGAGAACAACCCTGCCAAGGAGGCAGCACTGACCCTGATGGACAGAGCAGATGAGAGCTGGAGGGAGCAGCAGGCCAGCCCATCTGCCAGATGGGGCTTCTAGGATGGGGCAGCAAGGCTGGGATCTCTCTTCAGGCCCAGTGTTGAAGGGAACGGACAATTCCAAATGACTTCTGGAAAGGCAAGGAACCCTTTCTAGGGAACCCCACACGCTCTCCCCCAACACCTCTACCCAGCCAGGAGCTTTGGGAACAGCAAACTCTGAGCCTTCTGTGGCTCCCTGCGACTCCAAGTTCCTCATGGCATCACAAACCACAGCCCTCTCCGACAGCGAGGACCTGATGGGTAACTATGAGAGCTGGCTTGCCTGGAATGTTTCCCTGGCAACGCAGCTTCTGATGCACCTGCAAGCCCCTGGCAGACCCTAGGTCCCACCCCTATCATTCTTCTGCCTCCAGTTTGCAACCCTGGCCGAAGACCCCTGTCGCCTGCTGACCTGAGAAAGCGCCTCTCCTCTGGCACCTCAACGGAGCTCGGGTCGCTGTGTGCACTGCTGCTCATGGTCACACAGGCAAGCCAGCTCCGCGCTGCCTTTTAAGAGAGCCCTGGGGGCGGAGCTCTGTGACGGAGCACCTGCTAATCAAGGCCACCGGGAGGCGCTGCAATGCAGCCATTGGCCAAAGCACAGACACAGACTGGGATGGCTGGGGCCGACCGGGATCTGCAACAGAGTTCTATGATGGTGTTTATTTGATTATTCTTTATTATGGACGTCAGCTCGGGCCCTAAGTGTACCAGATGAAGCCATGATTGGCGTTGTGTATCTCCTCCTTGGGGCGCAGCCAGTACAACTCGCCGATGAAGGGTGGCACCCATCGCGTGGTGTGGAACACAGACTCGCCCACCTTCCAGTTGGGCACATCTTTCATGATGATGGCCTCCTCCTCCAGGTTCTCCCGAAGAATCTGTAAGATCCTGTGGCCACAGGGCAGCGCTGAGCTCACAGTCACCACTGCGTCCCTTCCTTGACCCAAGGAGCCCTTCCCAGTCCCTGATAGCTCTGCTGGCCCTCCCACCCTGGCCTACCTCCGGTCCTTCTCTGCCAGGAAGAGCGGCATGAGGGCAATCCGGGCCTCTAGGTCCTCGATCTGCAGGCGCCTGGGAGAGCAAGACACCCAGATGGGGTCAGATGTGGCCACCGGGGGAGTGTGGGATACAGACCTGACAGGGCTACAGGGCTGCAGGGCGCTGGTGGGAGGGTAGGGTGGAGCAGAGCTGCCCCCAAGAGTTGCCGTAGGAGGGCAACCCGGGGCGCAGCTGGCACAGTACAGCCACAAAACTGTTGGCTTCACACTTTTCTTTCAAATAGTCTTTTCTTTTTTTAATCCTAAAAATAACCCTGCCTGATGATCTGGATGGAGAGGGAGCACACTCATCACCAGGCACTGGGCCTTACAAAACCAGCTCCCTTTGTTCTCAAAATAGCAGGGTGCTGGGCCTGCAGACCTTCCCACAGTTGCTATTATCACCACAGGGAGTCAGAACTTCTCAACGTCAGGGACTAGACCCAGCACTAGTGCCCAGGAAGAGGCCTCTGGCAGGACTCTCTTTCCAGTGACACTCATCTATGACACTCATGGTCTTGGTCTCTCTGGCCCCCAGGGGACCTGCCTCCCATGGCCTGGTTTCTTTTTTGTTGAGGTCTCACTGTGTAGTCCTGGTTTGGAACTCACAAGAGACCTACTTGCCTCTATGCACCGTGCCACATCAGCCTGATTTCCATCCACAGGGCCAGCTGTGAGTCCAACAGCTGAAGTCCTGTTCAGCAGCTCTTTGCTTTAGGACAGGAAGCACGGTAGGAGCTGTAGTTCAGTGCGGCTGAGGACACCATCACCCTGGCAGAACCCCCCGGGCCCTACCTGCGCTCACGGTTCCACTTCATTATTCTCCAGGAGCCAAAGAGCAAGGTCCCAATGCCTATAGCGAACATGCTGTAGCCTGCAAGAAAGGAGACTTCCCTCTCAGCATGGGGCCTCAGGACCCCGCTCGCTCGGCAACACTGGGTCTCCCTGAATTCTGTCCTCAGCCACGCCTCCACGACAGTCTCTGTCTCTCTTGCTCCACAGTCAGGACACTAGGCAGTCTGGGCTGCCACACTTTCTGGAAGGTCCAGGTCCGCAGGGACACAGGAGAGCCCAGGGTCTAAAAGAGCAGTCCTCAACCTGTGTGGTGGGACCCCTTTGCGCATCAGATATCCTGCACATCAGCTATTTACATTACGATCCACGATAGTAGCAACGAGATAATCTTAGAGCTGGGAGGGTCATCACAATACAAGGGATTGTATTAAAGGGTTGCAGCAAGAGAAAGGTTAAGAAATCCTGCTCTAGAAGGGCTGGTCCCCATCAGAAGCTGGAAGTATCCTGGGGCTGCACAGCCTGCTCCTGACTCCAGGGTGGTGTAGGTACTGCAGGTTCAGCAGGGTAGACCACCTGCTCTACATCCTAAATAATTACTGAAGACCAGCAGGGGCAGTGCCAATCCTGACTGACAGGACCCCAGGGGTCACCCACCAGTGACTACAGATGGCATGGAGAATGCTGGGCCACAGGGGGCCAGAACCGGCTTTGGGGTACAGCCTGGATCCTTGGCTAGGTCAGGAGCTAAACATTTCTCACCTACCCAGTTCAGACTTGAAGACTCATGCTCAGAGAGCCTCCACTCATGGACACCAGGCTAGGAAGTACTAGCGTTCTGGGGAAGTCCCCGTGTTCAGGACCATCCCAGTAGCTGACTGTGGTGTAGTCAGCCAGCACCGCATCCTCAACAGCTAAGGGCCCCATCTTCAGACTCAGCCCCAGAATCTCACATGAGCTGCTCGCTCCCTGCAATTTCTCAGCACAGACCCTTCTGGGGAGCTCTGGTCCTTGCATGTCGGCACCCAAGTGTGACCTGGCCTGGGATGGTGGGAGCCATGTGGTACCGCCCAGCTTTCACCTCCCAGCTTTCACCTGCACCTGCCTGGCTGCAGTGATCACTGGGGTGGGCTACATTTCAGGAGGTGCCACAGGGGGCAGGGCAGGTGCAAAACACATCCTTTACCTCAGCCCCCCCCCCCCCAAGTAGCTAAAGTTGTAAGAGGCACTGCCACCCTGTGCCACTCTTTCCTGAATCAATAAGCTTCAGGTGGCAGCGCTCCCTAGTATGCAGCTCTGACGTCACTAACAGAACTTCTGTTTTCCTCCTTGCAGAAATGCACAGGAAGGTCATGAAATTCACGTGGAAGCAACAAGGGTGGGAATGGCTGCTTTCGGGAGCAAAGTTGCAGGATTCAAATCTGACAGCTTCAAACTCACCAAGCAGCTGTGTGTACAGAAAGAGACATGCTGGCATGAGGACAGTCACGTTTGCAAGCAGGACAGAACCAGGCGTCCCAAGACCCACAAATAGACCCTCACAATTTTACGGCCAATTGACTTTGGACAAAGATGCCTCAATAACCTAATGGGGACAGCAGTCTTCTTAGCCCAGTACCACTGGCAGCACGGCACCTCTGTTCTCCTGGGGAAGAGACTCAACTCCCAGTTGACAGAGAGGTCTGAAGGTAAGAGCTAGAGCTGCCCTGGGCTGGGCTCAGTGGGAGAGTGCCGGCCTACATAGCATGCTAACTGCCTGGGTCGCCTCCCTAATTGCATGAACCAGGAGTGGTGGCACATGCCTGTGTTCCCACCACTCGGGAAGTGACAACAGGAAAATCAAGAGTTTAAGGTCATCCTTGGCTACATGTGGAGTTTAGGGTTAGCCGAGGCTACATGAGATCCTGTTTTGTTTTGTTTTGTTTTGTTTTGTTTTGTTTTTTAAAAAGGGCTGGGAGTAATATGGAGCCTTGAGAGACAGCAGCAGGTAAACCTCCATGAACTAGATGCCAACAAGATCTACATAGAGTTCTAGGCTAGTGAGCCTATAATCCCAGTGCTCAGGAGCGAGGGCAGGAGGATCACTGTCTGAGGCTTCCCTGGTTTACAGCAAGTTCCAGCCCAGCCAGGCTCCACAAGAGAAGACAGGTACAGCGTAGTGAAATCACCCACGCCAATATACACCATGAACACACAACTGTACCCTAGAAGAAGGCAAACACAGAGTCCTTAAAGAAGAGAAACAATAGTGTTGTGAACGACACCATTAGCTTGACAGGCCACCGGGAGTAAAAATGTCTGCAGAGTGAGTATCTGAGAATGCCTCAGGACCCAAAATATAGACTCAAGTCACCAATAATAAAAACCACATAAGCTGCCTGGTGCAGTGGTGCATACCTTTAAGCCCAGCCCTCTGGAGGTAGGCCAACCTGGGCTACAAGGTGAGTTATAGGCCAGCCAGAGATACACAGTAAAACAGTTTCAAAACCCAAAACACCAAAACCACTACCGCCACCAACAAAAACGGTAAACATGGTGCAGAATGCCAGAGGTGCAGGTAAAGCTGTGGACGGGAGCCATGTCCACCTGAGAGGAGGGGCAGTGTGCACACAGCCAGTCTGGCGCAGGCCAGTTTGGGGCCTGCATACACAGCGGCTCCTCCTGGCTTCCCCAGTGACCAGGGGCAGAGCCACAGGTAGGAATGCTGACATGAGTCCCACCGGTCAGTTTGGGAGATCTTGGGGACAAGACTGGCCCTGTGCATCCAGACGTGGAAATGTGGCTGGGAGCAAACACCGATCAGTGCTGCAGTGCCCTCGCCTCCCTGCAGCCAGCGGGGGCTGCAGTGGGCCTGCACAGAGCAGGAGTGGCGGTGCAGCTGTGTCCTCCGAACATTCAGGAGGAAGGCCAGCCTGGGCTACACAAAGAAGCTGCCTCAGGGCTGTGGCCACGCTCTGTGGTTAAGAATGCTTGCTGCTCTTCAGAGAAAGAGCTCTGTTCCCTAAACCTGCACCGGGAGCCTGACAACCAGCCACAACTCCAGCTGCCAGGAATCTGATGCCATCTTGTGGCCTCCCTGAGCCCCTGCATTCCCATGCACGTACAGACATGCACACACTCAATTAAATCTTAGCCAGGCCTGGAGCACTTCTTTAATCGCAGCACTTGTGAGGCAGAGGTAGGATCTCTTTGAGTTTGGTCTGCATAGAGTTTTAGGGCAGCCATGACTACATAGTAGTGAAACCCTGCCTCTAAATAAATAAATCTTTGAAAATAAACAAAAACACTTGAGTGTCTCAAAACAACAACAAAAAAAATGTGCAGGGCAATAATGTCCAGCGCAGCTGTGTCAGGGACTGGAGAAGAGGGAAAAGGCACATCATGACTTCAGAACAAAAGGGCTGAGAACGTGGCTTGGATGGAGAGTGCTTGCCTAACAGGCACCAGCCCTGGGATCCACAACCACACCACATAAGCCAGGCTTAACGGCACACCCAAGTGTCACTCCAGCATTCAGGAGGTGATCACAAGCTCAGGGTCATCTTCTGCGACAGAGAGAATTCAAGGGCGACAATGAAACCTTGTCTCTAAATAAATAAATGCAGGGATACACAAAAATAAAAAATAAATAATGCAGGACAGTGGTGGTGCATGCCTTTAATCCCAGCACTTGGGAGACAAAGGCAGGCTGATCTCTGTGAGTTCAAGGCCAGCCTGGTCTAGAGTGAGATCCAGGGCAGCCAGAGATACAAAGAGAAACCCTGTCTCAAACAAATGATAAACAAACAAACAAACAAGCCATGCTGACTTGAGGCCACCAGCCCAGGTTCGGTGCAGCCCTATGGGTTCATGCTATATAGTACAATTGGTGCAGGTCTGAGTGAGCCAGGGACCTGGGTGTGTTACACTTCAGAGATGAGAGAGGCCGGCAAGCTGGTTAACATGCTTGCTGTAAAATAGAACCCTCATAAAGACAGAAAAAGAAAACTGACTTCACAAAGCTATACAGCCCCGCGCTTCCCGTACTCATTGGTGCACAATAATACATATTAAAATACAAGAAAATGCCAGGCAGTGAAAGCACACGCCATTAACTGGTGAGTTCTAGGATAGCCAGGGCTACCTCAGGTGGGGAAAGTGGGTGCGGGTGTTCACTTGCTGCTCTTGCAGGGGACCTAGGTTCAGTTTGCAGCATTTGCCTGGCAGCTCACAACTGTCTGTAAGTTCAGTTCCTGGGGATCTGATGCCCTCTTCTGGTTTGTACAGGCACCAGGCATGCGCACAGTGTACAAACATACATGCAAGCACTAAGATGCATAAAAGGCTGGCAAGATGGCTCAGTGTGTAAAAGGGCTTGTTGCCAAACCTGAGAACCTCATTTTCATCCCCAAGAGCCACACGGCAGAAGGCATGTTCTCCTCCACCCTCCATAAGCAACAAGGCACAGGTACCCCTGCACTCACTCATTCACATACTGTAACAGAAAGAGGAAGCGACAGGGAGAGCGAGAAGTAACAAGGCTTTGCTCACGGCAGGAATAGCTAGGTGAGGACCTGGGTAATGGGGAGATTAGTTTGTTTCTGGTCACAGTTCTAGCGTGGGATCTGTGTCTCAAAAGCCCTGGAGTTAGGATACTAGGTCACTCACTTCTGTAGGTAGTTGTCCTGGCAGCTGAAAAACCCTAATGCCCAGAAGGCCCCAAGTGATTTTTTTTTTCTTTTTGTTTTTTTGAGACAGGGTTTTTCTGTGTAGCAGCTATCTTGGAACTTGCTATGCAGACCAGGCTGGCCTCAAACTTAGAGACCTGCCTGTCTCTCACGTGGTAGGACTAAAGGCAGGAGCCACCAATACCCAGCTAGCTTTTGGATTTTTGTTGTTTCTTGAGACATGGTTTCTCTGTGTAGCCTAGGCTGTCCTAGACTTTGTAGACCAGGCTGGCCTCCAACTCACAGAAATCGGCCTGCCTCTGCCTCCCGAGTGCTTGGATTAAAGGTGTGCACCACCATGCCCAGCTAGCTTTTGGATTTTTAAAAACAGTTTTTGGTTGGTTGGTTGGTTTTTCTCAACAGGGTTCCTTTGTATAGCCCTGGCTGTCCTGGAACTCTGTAGATCAGGCAGACCTCTAACTCACAGAGATCCACCTGCTTCCACCTCCTGAGTGCTGGGACTGAACGTGTGCACCACCACCAGCCAGCTTGAAACAGGTTCTTACAAAACATTTCTGGCTAGCCTGAACTTTCCACATAGCCTACGCCAACTTTCAAGTTTCCCCTTCTTTGCTTCTCATATGCTGGGATCATATGAGCTACCACGCAGGGCCTCAAGGTTTTTGTTTGTTTGTTTTTAATTGAGGCAAAGCTTGCATAATATGAACAGTAAAGTCTGATAAATTAAAATCTAAAATTCTAAAAACCTAAATGTGTGGAGGATAGAGTTAGTAAACTCAGGTCCCTTTGGTATGAGCATCAAGTACTATTAACCACTGAGCCATCTCTCCAAATGCATAAGTTAATTTTTTTTTTCTTTTTCTGGATTAAGACGGCATCAGGTAGCCCAGGATAACAGCAAACTCCCAATCCTTGTGCTTCAGCCTCCTAAGTGCTCAGAAGAGGGGGGTGCACCAAGTCCTGTTTATGCAGTGCTAGGGTGGGGCCTAGGGCTTTGAAGTGCTAGGCCCAGCCCCTAACTATGGTATTTCTGTAACTCTGAGGACTGAGGGTGGACCCTAATGTTTTTCACATTCTTTCCCTGTTGAAATCAATAATACAATTCTAAATGTTACTTAGAACACCTTATAGTGGGCACACTGTCATCCTGGCACTATGGAGGCAGAGGCTGGGGAGGGGATGGTGTCAGGAGTTCCAGACTGGCCTGGAATTCATGAAAACCTGTGGAGGTGGGGAGTGGGGGTCAGCGAAGAGTGCCAGTGAGGAACCAGCAGTAGGGAGGCTGGAGTTTGAGGCAAGCCTGGGCTCTATGCTAGGTTATAATCAAGACACATAGAACCTCCTGCCTTGAGTGGTGGACCTGTCTGGCAGGACTGCCGGGTGACTGAGGCCAGCCTGGGCTATATAGTAAGCCCCTATCTGGAAAAAAAAAAAAAAAAAAAAAAAAAAAGATTCATAACGGTGCACCCCTATCAGCGCAGCTCTCCGAAGTGGAGGCAAGAGATCAGGAGTTCTAGGTCATCCACTGTTACAGAGTTTGAGGACAGCCTACAACAAAACAAAGCCTCCAAATTCCGGGTTCGAGCTTCTCGCGGGCTTAGCCTCCGAATCTGTGGGGGCCAACTGGAAATTTGAGGAAATGAACAGAGTGGTCTCCGGGATGTTGCGATAGAGAACCAAGACTCGGACTCTGCCTCCCGTCACTGTGTAAACTCTCCGCTCCCGCCTAGCTGCCTAACAGAAGCCCAGCCTGCAACCTCGAACAGGACGACACTGACCCGACATTCCCCGGCGGGGTAGGTTCCGCTTGTAGTCGATGGGGCCGTAGCCCCCTCGCGGGGGCATGTCCTGCTTCACCTTCGTCGCCGCCATACTTGCAGGACCCGCAACTTCCGGCCACTAGCGGAAGTGAGGCGAGCGAGGCCGCCATTTTGAATGTGGCGGAAGTTCCGTCTCCCGGGTAGTTCTCCCACAATTCGGAAGCGTTCTGCTAGCCTTTACTGCGGTCCAGAAGGTCTCCCTTGGTCTGACCCCAGACAGGGCATTGCTGTGGTTGGCACCTAGAGCTCTTCTGGGCGCCTTGTACCTTGCACTAAAAGTCTTGGCGTTCATGTTCTTTCCTTTCTGACCGATAGTCAGGCCAGGCTCGAGGTTTGCACCTCCCGGGGCCAAGGCAACAGGCTGGGTAGCACCCAGCTGAGCACCATCACCGCGGGGAGGAACCTATCCTGTTCCACAGTAGTGGTCAGTCTCCTCGCCAGTGGCCTCTCACGAGGAATTGACCATCGAGGGCGATTGAGTCACAAAGCCTGAGGAGGGTTTGGGGAGACCGCGGGGCGGGGTGGGGGAGATGGGAGGGTCCCCACCCCAAGGCCGAGTGACGCCCGCAGTCACTTCACAAGGCAGAAATTGTTACCCGGGCAATAAAAGTCATCGCGGCTGTAGGGCTTTGGGAGTGGGCACATGGGGGCACGGGGGTGCAGGTGCCAAGCACCATGGGTTAGGCCCGAGATCGGAGTCCGGCCGCCCCCCCGACAGCAGCCGCCTCCTGCTCCCCGCGCGCCCCGGGCGCCACCATGTCGGGCGACAAACTCCTGAGCGAACTTGGCTATAAGCTAGGTCGCACGATAGGTGAGGGCAGCTACTCCAAGGTGAAGGTGGCCACCTCCAAGAAGTATAAGGGGACGGTGGCCATCAAGGTGGTGGACCGCCGGCGGGCGCCTCCAGACTTCGTCAACAAGTTCCTGCCTCGAGAGCTGTCCATCCTGCGGGGAGTACGGCACCCGCACATCGTGCACGTCTTCGAGTTCATCGAGGTGTGCAACGGGAAGCTGTACATCGTGATGGAGGCAGCAGCCACCGACCTGCTGCAGGCAGTGCAGCGCAACGGGCGCATCCCGGGGTCGCAGGCGCGCGAACTCTTCTCGCAGATCGCTGGCGCCGTGCGCTACCTGCACGACCACCACCTGGTGCACCGCGACCTCAAGTGCGAAAACGTGCTGTTAAGCCCTGACGAGCGCCGAGTTAAGCTCACGGATTTCGGTTTCGGCCGTCAGGCGCACGGCTACCCAGACCTGAGCACCACCTACTGCGGCTCGGCCGCCTATGCGTCACCTGAGGTGCTCCTGGGCATCCCCTACGACCCCAAGAAATACGACGTGTGGAGCCTGGGCGTTGTGCTCTACGTCATGGTCACCGGGTGCATGCCCTTCGACGACTCGGACATTGCTGGCCTGCCCCGGCGCCAGAAGCGCGGCGTGCTCTACCCGGACGGACTCGAACTGTCGGAAAGATGCAAGTCCTTGATTGCCGAGCTGCTACAGTTCAGCCCGTCCGCCCGGCCCTCGGCGGGCCAGGTGGCGCGCAATGGCTGGCTGCGGGCCGGGGACTCCGGCTAGGAGCCGGGGTTCTCGCTGTTCCCGCCGCACCAGGCCCTGAGCCAGGGCGGCGCATGCGCGACGAGCGAAGTCGCCGCGCGCCACTGCGCACGCGCCCTGTCCCTACCCCTTCCCCCACGGCGGCGACCCACCGAGGCCCGCTGTAGGATTCTGATTCCTCCCGCACAACCTGATTGCTGGAGGGCGCACGCGCACCCTCGATTTCTGGCGAGAAGGCGCCGGGAGGGGCGCAAAGAGAAGAGAGAGAAGCATTGCGCCTGCGCGGAATGAGCTCCTGCTGCGCGGTGCGTGGCCGCGACCCAAAGAAGCTGCGGTCAGGTAGTGCAAGCCAAGCTCCTGCTTGGAACCTGCAATAAATTCGCTCTTCCTCGCAAGCGGCTTTAGCGGTGGAACCTTGTCACTGAGCAGGGGGGAGGGAAAGGTTCAGCACTTTGGAGAAAGGCGGGTATATGGTATTTCTAGCGTCAGACTTGAAAAAGGGAGTGGGGAGATTCGAACACTGTTCTTTCAGGTCCCTGAACTAGACATATTTTTAAAGATCCTATAGTCGTCCCCCCGGATGTGATGATGCTCGACTTGGGATCAGCGGGAGGAGAGGAGGTGACTGCTGGCAGGAACATTTACAGACGTGGAAACGGGCCGACACAAGTGTCAGTTGTGCAGAAACAGCTGTGGTTTGTACTCAGGTCTCTTGAGACAGGGAGCCCTGGGTGATGGTACTTTCCCTGTGGGAACAGAAGTCATGATCCTGTTTCTCTGCTTAAAAAGCTGTGGCCAGCCCGGGGTCCACCTGAGATTGTGCCTGGCTCAGAAGGGCAGAGCCCTGGAGAAACTCCCAGAAGTCAAGTGTGCACTTCAGATCTCCACTGACTCCGTGCCCATGCCAGGTGAGGTAGAGAACACAGAGCAACCACTGACTTCAGCCTCAGGTTACTCTGTATGAGTGCAGGGCGTGTGTGTTGGGGGTAAGGTAGCGGGGAGAGAGAAGAGATGGCATTTCTTCCAGATGACCTGAGTTCAGTCCTAACGCCCACGTGGACAGTTTGCTTGCAACAGCTCCAGGGAGTCTTGTCGCCCTTTTCTGGTCCCCACAGGCACCACACACACTTAGCATACACTCGTACAGACACATGCCTTTGCACACAAATAAAAATTAAAATATTGGCTACCTCGTGAGAATTTGTGCATTCCTCCCTCTTTGCTTTCTGCTGCCGCCATGCCATCCAGACTGAGGAAGACTCGGAAACTCCGGGGCTACGTAAGCCACGGTCACAGCAGCACCGGTAAGCACCTCGAAAACCCAGGAGGCTGGGGGAATACTGGAGGCATGCATCACCACAGGATCAACTCCAACAAGTATCATCCAGGTTACTTTGGGAAAGTTGGTATGAGGCATTACCACTTTAAGGGGAAGCAGAGCTTCTGCCCAACCATCAACCTGGATAAATTGTGGACACTGGCTGGTCAGTGAGCAGACACAGGTCAGTGCTGCAAAAAACAAGACTGGGGGCTGCTCGCATCACTGATGTTGTGCGATCGGGCTACTATAAAGTTCTGGAGAAGGGCAAGCCCCCCAAACAGCCTGTCATCATGAAGACCAAATTCTTCAGCAGAAGAGCTAAGAGATTAAAGGTGTTGGAGGTGCCTGTGTCCTGGTGGCCTAAAGCCAGCCAAGGAGGTTATTTAAATGCTAACATTTTCAACAACAACAAAAACTAAAATATTAAAAAGGTAGGGGTATTGCTGGGCCTGAGGTGGTTCAGTGGATGTAGGCACTGGCTGCTCTTACCCACATGACAGCTCAACACCTGTACTTCATCCTCTCTCTTCAGGTACTAGGCATACACATGGTACAAAGGCATACATGCAGGCAAAACACCCATACACATAAAGCTGGGCGTGGAAGTGCGCCCCTGTAATTCCAGCAGTGGGGAGTCAGAGGCAGGCAGGTACCTCAATTTAGATGCTTAGCCTGGTCTACATCAAGTTCCAGGCTAGCCAGGGCTACACAGTGAGACCCTAAACTCTTATTTTTTTTTTTTAACCTGGTTTTTCTATGGAACCCTAGTGGACTTGAAGCTATGTAAACCAACCTGGCCTTAAAGTCAGAGATCCACTTGCCTGTCTCCTGAGTACAGAGTACCACATCTGGCACCAAATCAATCCTTTATAATTTGGAGAAACGTGGTGCTACACTCATTGCTGGTACACCTGTGAACACAGCATCTGGGGAGGATGGTTGGGACAGAGGTCAGGACTGTAGGATTCTAGGCTAAGGAAAGGCCCTTTCTGAACAACTCAGGTAGTTTGTAGCATAGCTCAGAACAATTTAGAAATAACCAACTTTGTGCCTCAGTCTCCTGAGTGCTGGGCTTGAGCCCGACTCAGTGTTCAACCCTCCCATTTGGGGTGCCTCAGAGGTGGCACTAACATACAAAAAGTACCCACACTCTTTGTGTGTTGGTGGTGGCTGACACAGTCCTCGTAATACAGCCCTGGCTATCTTGGAATTCATTTTTCGTACTAGATTGGCCTTTAACTCCAAGAGATCCACCTGCTTCTGCCTCCTGAGTGCTGGGATTAAAGGTGTGTCACCAGGCCTGGCCTTTTTTTTTTTTTTTTTTTTTAACTGTATTATGCTTTGTGTGTATGTCTGTGCACTGTGTTCACAGAGCCAGTGGAGGCCAGAAGACGCTATCAGATTCCCCGAGTGGAGCTCCAGGTGATTGTGAGCTGCTCTGTGGGTGCTGGGAATTGAATCTATGTTCTCTGGAACAGCAGCCAGCACTCTTAACCACTGAGCCCTCTCTCCAGGCCCCAGCTTAACCTCATTTATTTTAAATAAAAATGTTTCCAATTGTGCTGGATGCCTGTCATCCCTGCATTTGGGAAGTAGAGGTAGGAGGATCCTACCTCTACTTTACAGGTAGCCTGGGTTCAAGGAGATCCTTCCACAAGACAAAAATCAAAATGTGAAACTGAGTGTCTCAAGCTCATGTAGACCTGAATGAGCCCACAGTACTGTGCTGGGAACATTCCAACAGCAAAGCACCACAGGGCCAAGGGGAAGGAAACTCCCCAGCAGGGAGGTCAGAGTGGCCCCAGAAGGGCAAAACTCAGCTGGGAGTCTCACCTGAAACCCTTGCTCATTGAGATCAAATGTAACAGACAACTCAGGGTAGTGGGATGCCATGCTTAAAAGGTATGTGCACCTTTCACTCCCCCTTTATAGAAGGCCCAGAACCTGGGGCAAAACACTAGGGGCCCAGGAAATTAAAGAACAATACAGTTGACATTTGGTCCATTTCTTTATTGTCCTTCAGGGTCTCAGACTTCCCAATGACACAACGTGGCTGCCAATTTCAGCTCATTGACTGGAACATCTATTCCGGTTTGGTGGCATGTTAAAACATGTTTTATCAAAGACTCAGTCACAATAAATACAGGTGGCAGATGCCAAAGCCCCTCATACCCTGCACTACTGTAACTGCTGTACATTGAGGGTTATAAACTGATGACTTTTGTTAACAGTTCAAGGTCTTCAGGCTGACATGATTAAGAATGGTGGGGACCACCCTTCCCTAAACACCGTGTAGGCTGAGATTCATGTGGCATGGGGGTGGGCGTGTTACAGCCAACTCTCTGTCCTTTATTCCCTCTGCCTGGGGCAAGCTTTGGCTTCCCTGAGGTGGGGGGGGGGACGGACACAGGGGAGATCAGGTCCCCGAGGCTACTCATAGGACCATTGTCCCACCCCCAGGTGACAGTAAAGCCTGACAGAAGTCATGTTTCCTTGTTTCTGCGTGCTGGGCACTTAAGAGCCTGGGGCGTTTCAACAGACAGTTACATCTTGTCCTCAAGCCCTTCAAACTAGTCCCTCCCAAGCAGTGAGCAGAGGAAATGGAGTGGCATGTGACCAGAGCCAATGCCAACTTTGTGACCACCTTTGGGAGATCAATTAAGTAGGGACCACTACCCCCTTTTTCAGCTTCTAAAGTACCATGCCAACCACATTTAACATTTTTAAAAAAGTTTTAAGCCGGGTGTGGGTGGAGGTGCAAACCATTAATCCCAGCACTCAGGAGGCAGACGCTGGTGGATGTCTAGGAGTTCTAAGGAGCCCAGGACACAGCTCAACAGGAGAGGGAGCAGCAGCCAGCTTTGATGGAGTGGCAGCTTTGTGGTGGACAGTACCCTAAATGCCTGATCCTCCTGGTGCAGTCCTCAGCTGTACTGTCACTGTGAAGGCTTGTTGCTCAGGCCAGGGCAAAGTTGTGAGCAGCACTTTCAAGTAAGCTACGGCACCTCACACCCCAGCCCTCTGTAGGGAGAGCTTCACCACAGCATGCCATCCTGGGGTATAAGGCCCACAGCTGGGAGTGGACCCTGTCCCTCTTGAGGTGCATAAACAACAGGGCCCACAAGGCTTAGGCAGGTGTCACGATGGGGAGGACTCATCAGACTTGCAAGTCTGGAAGGGTAGGGAGGTCACAAACGAGCCAGGACAATGAACCCTCGTGCTGCTGCTCCAAGGAGCCAGAAGACTTAGGCCCATGTCTCTGAACAGAGGCTCAGCCACTCAGGAAGTGGGGGAAAAAGAACTGACTTGCCAGGCACAAAAATACTCTATGAGTAAGAAATGCTTGCATATATTTTTATATATATTTTTGGTGTAAAAACACCCCCACCTTAAAAAAAAAAAAAAAAAAAAAAAGGAGGCAAATTTCTGTTAATTCCCCCAAATCCATATCCACCCCAAGAAGTAACACACTCAGAAGCACTGAGTAACTTGGGTCTTACACAACAAAAAGGTTTTCCAAAACTTTTAACTCCCACATGTCCAAACGATTCCTAGAGATGGAGGATTACCACACTGGTGAGCACGGGGTTAAATGAGCCTTTATTAGGAGGAGGCAGGGGCAGTGTCTGCAGAGGGCGGAGGTCTGCAGAACACGGGTTTAAATTAAAGTCCCTAACTGTATTGTGTCAAGAGAAGCCAGGGCTGGATGGGGAAACGACAGTGACCAACCACTGCAGATGCGCAGCAGGCCGCCCTGTGCGTGTTGGACACACAGCTGCCTTTCACCATGGAACCAATTGTTAAAGAGTGGGGGGAGAAGGAAACAAAACAAAGTTAAAGTAGACCCAGCCCTTATGACAGACATCCCTGTGGATTGAGTAGGAAGTAAAGCCTGCAGAACCCAGACCGAAGGGTTCATGTGGGTCCCTACCTGGGTGCCTCTTGGCAGGCACGGGCATCTTGAGATTGTGTCCAACAAAATGAAGAGAAAAAGAAAATTTTAATAAAATAAACCACAAAAATAACCCAGCAACCTCCCTGCCAGTAACCAGCTCTGGCTCCAGCATCCCTCTGGAGCTTGTGGGTGTCTGGCGGAGTCTGGGCTGCGATTCACTCTGCCAAGCGTGGAAGCCAGGGGCCGAGTGAGCAGCAACAAACACTAGCGCCAGGGTGGCACCTGCCATCCCTGGGTGCTGCCACTCAGAGCATCCTCTGGGGCTATGGTCTGCAGATTACAATGTGCACAACAGGAACCCTGGGTCTACGCAGTTCACTTTTAATTCCATCATCATCATGAGGTGATTAAAAAAAAAAAAACAAAAAAACAAAAAAACCCAAACTTCAACCTATAGATGGCCATGAAGAGGCAGAGATTGGGAGCTAAGATGGGAAAAGCCAAAAGAAAATGAAACCCCGGCTCAACTTTGGGAGCCCCCGGTGCCAGCCTGGCCCGGGCGTGTCACAGTGTCCAGGGTGAGCTCCCACCCACACTGGCCAGGCAGAGCTGGCCCCAAGGTCCAAGTTTCTGCTGGTGTCGGGCAAACTAAAGGCAAAAAGGAAGGAGAAGGCCCGCGGGGAAGGTCCCTGGTTCTGATCCTGGGCACCATGGTGGCACACTCTCCTGACCACAGCAAGGCAACAGCCAAGGCCTGAGCTGTCTCAGCAACTTGCTGGGAGGGCAGTCTGTGTCCTAGACCAGGGGCCTCGGGAGAGCAGAGGGCCTGTCCTCGGCTGGGCCAGGCTCCCATTATTTCCATGTGGCTGACTGGGGGATGGAGCGTGGAGGGATCATGTCCAGGAGGTATTCTCGCTGACGGTCCACAGCCGAGGAGGTCTTGTGCACTGCCAAGCTTGGGCTGACGAAGGCAAGGGTCCCACCTACAACACACAGTGATGGGCAGTGGTAAGCCAGTCAGGCACTGGTGACCAGGCCCTGGATACACCTGAGACTCCTACCTTAGCATATACCCAACAGAGCCAGGAGCAGAGAACCAGGCCCCACAGAACCTCCACACTGCCAACCACCTCAAGGGCTAAGAGATCAGGAAAAGATGGATGCAGTGGCGCACCCCTGTAATCTTAGCGCTCGGACAGGCAGAGGCAGGCAGATCTCGGAGTTCAAGGCCAGCTTGGTCTACACAGAATAGCCAAGATTACAAAGAGAAATCCTCGAAAAACCACCCCTCCTCCCAAAGAGAGCTCAGTAAAGTCAAACAAGGGCTTCTGCATCATATAATGGAGCTTCATGGAATAGTATGATTGTGGAAAGAAATTCTCTCTTATGTATGACAGCACACAAACTCGAGGTGATAGCACACATATATGTGCTGGCCAGGCTGGCCAATTAGATCCACCTGCCTCTACCTCCCAAGTTCTAAAATTACACCAGCGATGGAATCCAGGGCCTCACACCCCACAAGCAAATGCTTGATCTCTTAGGTCTCTCTTCAACTCCTCTCTCTAGTCAGACAGCAATTCCTACATTACCCAGGTTTGCCTCAAAGTCTTGGGCTAAAGCGTTCCTTATGCCCCAGCTTCCCAAGCAGCACAGACAACAGGCGAGTGTCACTGTGTCTGCTCTCCTACTTATGGATTACAGGTGTGTGCCATCACACCCAGCTCCAAGAGGTAAACCCACAGGTTCTTGGCTCTGCGCCTCGAATATGCTAGGTGTGCCCAGACCCCTGCGCACCACACCTGCTACACTATCAAGGCTTCTCTGGCTCTTCACTTAACTCACTAGCATACCACCGTTTCTTCAGCTGTTTTTCCTACAAGCTGCAGGGAATACTGAGACCAGAGTGACACTAGGGCTGGGGACGAGAGCCCCTGCAGAGATCTCCAGCTGACGATGCTTTGAGGGTGGCACTGCTACCCTTTAATACCCAGCACAGCCCACCTACTTCTGGCTTCATGGTTCTACTCTGGTCCAGATAGAGAGGGCGGTAGGAGAGAGATGGCACAGAGGCTGGCAAGCTGGTATCACTAACGTGTAGGGCAAAGCAGCAAAGAGCAGGCAAGGGCTGCAGTGGATGGGGCTACGAAAGGGTGGCACAGGCTAACAGGAGCCAGGAGCCAAGGCCTTCTACTGGAGACAAGGTGTCATTTGCTCCAGCAGGAATGACAGCAAGAGGCTGTGCTCTCAGGAAGCTGTGAGATGTAGACCTTCCACGCTATTTTTGATAATCCCCTTATTATTAAAAGTAAGGAGGAGGCTGTTGAGGAACTATGTGTTTCTGTGTCTAGAGCAGCCTGTGCCACACATCTTACAGACAAGGAGCGGTGGCGCAGCAGCAGTGAGTTTTCATAGAAGAGGGGTACCTGTGCTCAGGGGCGTCTTTTTCCAGTTGGAGGTGGTGCCCTTGCTGGTGCCCACGGCTCTCTCGGAATGTCTGCCAGTCCTGCTTACCAGAGCCGTAGCCGAGGCTGTGTTCTGCAGTTTGGGTGACTGGCTGAAGGTGTGCAGAACGCCACGAGGTGTGGCGGCTGAGCCCCGGGAGAGCTGGCTGGAGGCCTACAGAAGTCAGAGA